TGGAATATCATCGGCACTACCGTAAAATCTGTATTAGAAGACGCATCCCTAATAGAAGCCGCACCCATTCTTTTTGAATAATTGAGACCCAAAAATTCATCATTTCTCATATGTGTAGATGCTCTATTAGAAGCCACATTCCCTCCGTTGCATTGTACCATTTTAATAGAAGTCGCGTTTTCTAATACATATTTTACAGTAGTAACTAAAGTAGGTAGTTTAATCTATTTTCAGTGACAGGACATATACATCCTTTCACGTTCTTACGTTTATTAGTATTATACATATTCAAATGCACTAAATTGTGCATCTATCAGATTTATCACTTTGTACATTACAATAGCACACATATAAAAATGTAGCTACACTGAACAGCTGTGTCTAAATGACATCTATTATTGTGATGGTGGCCTGAGAATTACACACTCTTGTTTTTAGTCCCACCACCATCATGTATACAGAAACCACTTTAAAAAGTGAATTGGAAAACTTAATCATTTGTTAAACTGGTTTTGCTATTATTCTGGCATGTTTTTTTAACCTTATCACTACCAGTTCTCTCTTTTCATCCCAAAATCACGAAATAGTCCCCTTTATGGTCTGCACTTTCCTTCAGAAGATTGGGACAAAACTAGTCACATTTTTAGGTTAAAACTGAATTTGACTCAAATTTTGTCTGTTTGGCTCAAACAAATTAGGGTTCATTTCCAGAAATTTTTAGAATAAAAAAAGTGCAGGAAAATGTGGGCGAGAAAGAAATTCTGGTAGTTAAATGGTTAACAATGAATTAGAAGAAAAAAAATGTACTAATTGACACTGATATTCAAATTTCATTTTGTTTTACATTAACACATTTTTTTGTGATGCAAAAATTTCTGCTAATCAGCGGAAAAATGTGTAATTAATGTCTTCCCAGTATTCTAATTCCAATTTCCTACCTATAAAAATGCTTATAATTGTTTTGCACGTATGCTTCAGCATTTTGATTGTCATTCATCATGTCACAACTAGCCTGGAATTTCAAAGAGTGGTCTGACATTGATATTTTGATTCAGAAGGAATTTCAATATAGAAAAACATCATATTCATAAATGCAGCTCTCAAAACCAACCAATGACAAAAATGAGTTAATTTCAGCTCAAAATATTTTAAGGAAAATCGTCTGAATGAGATGAACTGTAAATGATTAATCTGAAATATGCTATTCCATGCATAGTAAAGTTAAGGATAATTCCTGACTCTTAATTCACACCATAATAATATTATTTATTATTATATACATGTATCTGTCAACGTAACACCATAAGTTACAGCGTGCCGTAATTTAGCAGTATTGCACTGGATATTATCATACTACCATATTAGGGAATGCGAATTCCAAATATGGAGCGATTAATAATAAAAAAACAAATATGGCTGCCCCCAGGGTTTGACCGGACTGCACATGTTGAATTTCGCTAAATCTGTTCTAAACATTTTGGATTTCGGCATTCCCATGATGTATCCTTGGAAGGAAAAGATTATAATAATAAGGTATTATGAGAATATCGCAAAGTATGCACTCAGACAGTACACCTCCATCGACCTCTGCATCGACCTCCGCTGCGCATCGGTCGATACTGCCGCTGTAATGTCTTCATGCATACTTTTCGGTATGCTCGTAATAACCTCATATTAACTCATAATATCTCCCGAAAAAGATTATACATCACAGAACAAATAAAGAAAGAAAGAAAAATTACATGCAGCAGGAAGAGTGAACCTTGGCTAAAAGTATATTTGTCCAAGATACATTTAAACAATTGACTCTAAGATAGACATTTCAGACATAAGTTAGTAACTGAAAACTGAGTCATGTTCAATACCAGTACCAGTACTTGTGACCACTGCCAAAAGGCTGTACTAGCGTAGTGATGTTTTTTGTGTACAAAATATCATGGGTAATATCAACTGTCATACAATAACCATTTCTTCACTCATTCATCATGTTTTAAAGACACTTATTTTGTTGTTCAAAGGCCTGTCAGTTTATGTCTATCTCAGACGCTGAACTATAGTCAGACTATGTGTACTCCCAGTCAGGTGTCTAGTCAAAACATGTGTAGCTGAAGTGTTTTTAGCATGTGATGTTAGCATGATGCTATAAACATGATTCTGAATGGATTTGAGCGAGAACTCTAGTCTGGTTCCACTAGCTTCCACACTTGCAGTATAAAATTAATAAATCTTTAAAAAAGGATTCTGGGCATGAGTAGAACAATTTATATTCATTGGACTCAACATTTATGCTGATGACGGTGTAGCAGGGGCATGTTTCTCAATGTTTTAAAGGGAAATATTCAATCATTGCTAATACTTTTCTGAAAACTGCATACAAAATCAGATATCAGAAAGTTTGATTTCACGTATTTGAAGGCATTGTTACCTTCTGTTGGTTTCATAAGACCACTATCAATAATAATAATAATTTGTTTTATTCATTAATGTATTAATTGTACATGCAAAAAATTAATAATATATTACAGTGAGAAAAGTGAGAAAATGAAAAAAAAAAACATCTATAATTTTTTTAACAGGAATTGGAATAAAACCCTTTGCTAATCTGGTGTAATCTCTACACTGTGCATCAATGTCCTCTCTGTAACTACTAAAAAATGTTTGCCATCTGGGACCTGGTAATTATATTTAACCCAAAACAAAGCTTTGTAAATGACCACTAGAAAAACTACCTTTCAGACAAAGTGATTGTTAGACTAAATCATGACTATCAACAAAGTGACCACCTAATAAACTCCCCATTGCACAGACTGATCTAAAAACAAAACAAATACAGGCTGGGTAAATTGTTTTTTAAAAGAATTATTCTATCACCATTCTAATCCTGATTAGTGAAATATGGCAAATAACAGCAAAATTTAACACAGAAATAAATATAAAATTGTGAATCTTTTTAATGATCATATGAGTCTGTATGGTTATTACGTTGTGTTAAATTACCATATAGACAGCATATAGATATGATTGAATATTGCTCATTGCTGGATTTACATATTCTCAGGCATTACCGTATTTACTCTATTAGTAGCGCATACATTTACTTAAATAACAGACATGTGTCTATGATCAAAATAAGTTTTATACAATACTTATTTACATATTAAGTAAGTCAATTTGTAGCTGTTCCACATATAGGTTATTTTATAGCCAGCTTCCAATATGGCAACAATTTGAAACTATTTATTCAATTTTATTTTTGTTTTGCTCAGTACAGTTCACTTCTAACATGGCAACAATTTACAACAATTTATTCAATTTTATTTTTGTTTTGCACAGTACAGTCAGCTGACAAAGGCATGTTCTAACTAACTTCTCTCAATTAATACAGAGAATATAAATCGTGAATCCGGTGATCTGATTGGTGGAGGGTGCATAGCCGTGTTAGAAATATACCTTAGAAACCCAGTTCAATGCTCAGTAGTGCAAAACTAGAATAACTCTCCCATAATGCATTGCACATATGCACTGTTACATGCTCAGTAGTGCAAAACTAGAATAACTCTCCCATAATGCATTGCACATATGCACTGTTACATGCTTAGTGCAAAACTAGAATAACTCTCCCATAATGCATTGCACATATGCACTGTTACATGCTGACTAGTGCAAAACTAGAATAACTCTCCCATAATGCATTGCACATATGCACTGTTACATGCTGACTAGTGCAAAACTAGAATAACTCTCCCATAATGCATTGCACATATGCACTGTTACCTGCTGACTAGTGCTATACTTGAATTAGGCCCAAATTTCCTTAAGAGTTTTTAAAAAATAATGTAATTTTCATTTTTTTACATGCGCGACATTTCATGCTATTACACAATGAAGTAAATAAAATAAAAAAAATATCAGGTCATCGTGCCAGTGTTTCAATTGACCTATGGAATTTGCATTTAAATTGACATACACGTATTATGTTATATATATTATTTGACAGTTTTTTTCTGAAAAAAAAAATCTATTTTGACAGTTAACAGATGTTGTCCACATGTTGTTGAGTAGTTGTTGGCAAAATCAAAATTCTGGGACCCTCATTTTATTTTATCAGCAATCCTTGGGCTTTGATTAATAAGGCTTTTATAAAAGTGTCAATCTAGGAAAGGTAAATGAGAACCGGGTGGTAACGGAGTTGAAACACTGCGTAGTTGATCACTCAGTGTTGTAAGAAAAATCCCATATAGAACGTCTCTTTACTATCTTTATTGTTTCATTTTTGTTGTTAAAATACTTTCTGAAAAACATTTATGATAAATTGAGGATTAAATTTGCTTTGACTTTTTCAATGAGAGTAATAATATTATTAGAATTAACAATCATGTTTTGAATTAGTTTAAATGGTTAGAGAACCACAAATATGTTGACAAATGAGGTGACTGACTTTACAAATGTCTGACTATATGACAAGTACCTGTATATTAACATGATAAATTAAAGAGGACATTTCTACCATTTAATGTCTTTTTCAATCACATATTAGATCAATTAACTTAAAAATTCCTCCAACTGGAGATTAAATTCTTCTGAATTATTGTAATAATTTAAATATAACTGCAGATTACTAACAACATGGTAACTTATATTTAATATTTTTATTTCAGAGCTCACAAATCATAATCAAAGGTTATTTATGCATTACCGTATTGACAGATGAATTGTGTGTGGAATTATGCTACATAAAACAATCTAGCCTGTGAACTCGAAACATTTATTGGTTGCATGGCAACCGATATGAAAAGGAGTCAAACAAAATAATATAACTGTCACAAGATGAGTTTTTTATCGAGAGCTTGTTAACAAAATTATATTTGATATGATCTTGAAGTTATCCTAGAAAAAGAAAAACAGTTTATTCAAAAATAGATGCTTAGATACCAAATACTATGATTTTTTTTTTGATTGAAAGATTTAAAGCACGGCTTCTCAATCCCAGGGATTCAATTATTTACTGTGTCTATGTGCTAGTATCTTTCGTATGTCATTCACTGTCTTGAAAGGAAAAGACATATTGTTACCAATGTTTCAGTGATTGACAGTCATTTTAAAAATGTTTGATGCTGCTCAAAATATGTCTTCTCATCAATTTTCAGGCAAAAATTACCCTTAAATTTTTTTCTAACTCAGACTTATGTCAAAATCATGTTGTGGCATTTATTACTGATTGTATACAATAACAAAATAAATTTCTCAAAATTTTATCAAAATGAGCGATTTTGCGATGCACTCTGGCCAGATACATTACCATGGAGTGTGATTTGCATACTGTAATCCTGTCGCCATCTTTCTTTTTATACACCCAGAGGTGCGGTTTAAGTGCATTAATGATGTCTTAATTGAAAAGCTTCAGTGCTAGATTTGATTGTTCTAAAATGAAAATCTATTTTAAAACATTCATTTAACCAATTTGCTTGTTTTTCAGGTAACAAACGTGATCTGGAAAGCCTTCGAGAGGTCACAGTTTCAGACGCGAAAGCTTTAGCCCACCACCACGGGATGCTTGAAAGTCTAGAGACTTCCGCCAAAGATTCTACAAATGTTGAAGAAGCTTTTGGGAAACTCGCCAAAGAACTGAAGAAAAGGCACGGAGGCAGCATGTCGCTTGAAGCCGGAGACGAATCGCCAAATATCTCACTTGACTCAAGGCGAGTTGACGGTAGTTGGGGTTGCTGTAGGTAGAATGAAACTGACTTATAAAACTTGATATTGACATTCGGATCTTGGTTTTGTGGGTGTTTTAGTCATCATGTCTTGGATGATGTCTTCCTTTTATTTTATACTACTACCTGTGTATATTTACCGTATTTGGTCTATTAGTAGTGCATATAAATTAGAGATTTTTCTATGGTCAATGCCAATGCGATTTTTGATTTACCGGGATATGCGCTTCTATTGGAGATGCACTTATAATAAAGTAAATACAGTAGTCATAATATTGGATGCTTTGTGGCTTGTTATCAACTCTTTGAATGCCAAGGTCAACTTTTGTTGTTTTTTCATCAAATAAAACGCATAATTTTTTTCAATATTTCTTTCAAAAATTTTATAAAATTGTGTAAGCATTGGGAAACTATTGCTATTTGGAAAACTACATAAACATCTGCAAATTGTTGGCAACAAAATAGTTCATTTAAAAGTTTAACATCCTTAATATAAATAGACTATATAATACTTACTGCATCATAGAATGTTGAAGATAAAATTAGAAAAGTCTCTCATTACTAACTGCATCTATCCATCATGCTGTGTTCTATTTTTGTTTCTATTTCACTGGTATCCAGTGTGATGTTTTCATAAGAAAAAAAGGGGTCTAAAGTCATTACTATGCAGTGCTGAAAAGTGTAAAAGTATTATGTACCTTATCAGCTCAATGGAAGCGTATGTCCAATAGTGCATTATAATTATTTTGACCTTAGACATACCTCTGTCGCTTACGCAAGTGTAGCACTACTAAATAGAGAAACTATGGTATATCGCATAAAGCAAAATTGTTCAACATCAAATAAGTTACGAAAAAATGGCCATTCTCCATGCAACTAGTACCTAAAACTGTACCCTGACCACACACAGTGTAATATGAACCAAGGTTTATATTAAGACCCAAGTAGTTCATCAAGAAAACCCACTGTTGACAAAGTTAAACACGCTCACATTTTTACAAATCTCGCAGTACAGAAAGCATTAGGAATATGGATGCCATAATTTATAGATGGTTCGAATGACCTGTTTATTTTGATAGGGTTCATTGTACTCGTCGAAAGACTGGTATGAGACACCATACTGTCTACAAGTTTAGTTTTATATCTGGTCAACAGTAAACATGTCTGCAAATAAAATAACACTGCATGTTCTGTTCAAAACAATAGCAGTTGTCAAGAAAATGAAAAAAAATATGTGATCTTACATTTACATTTGTAGGTTTATATTCCCATACAGATAAAATGCTGCCTGTTTTATTTCTCATATTCATAAAAGTGCAATTTTTTTCTGTTTTACAAATATTTTGGCTAGAAAAAAACAAAAACATTTTGTTTTTGTTTTTAACTGATGCAATTTTACCTTGATTGTATTCCGTGAGTGTTACTTCTAAGACATTATAATTCGTCGTAGTACATAGTCATTTGCATTTTCGAGGACATTCTAAATTTCATACTGGTTTTACAACTTTGAGTCGCATACAAATTGGGTGATCAAAGTGACAGCTATTCGACTGTTTCTTCCATCTATGATACTGCGATTTTTATTTTACCACCGCAGCTAATTCTATTCCTTATTTTTTTCGTATTTCTTATCCTGGTATGTACTTTTATCATCACTCTAGTTATTAGTTATTCACCCTTTGGTGGCTGTGTCATTGTTTTTGTCCTTGTCTGTAAGTTTTGTCTTGCGGTTATAATAACTCAAAACAATTTCTACCTGAGGTTTCTTTTCAAATTTTGTATTTTTCTTTGTATATACTTGTTGTACATGTATATGAAATAAGATTGCAAACAGGTGGCTTGTGGTCTATATGCCATTTACATTAGATAAGATATCAGGGTGTAGACAAGGTTAGGCTGTATATTTCTTATATTTCGATAACTCAAGTGAAATCTGTTCGTCGCCATTCTCAATTGTTGTCACATTCCACCAAAAACATTTCTGATCAAAAATGTGCCTCAAACTTTGTTGTTCAATCAAATCAACATTGAAATTGGAGCAAATTAAAAGAATTTGCTTCCAAATTTCAGCTTTCTTCCAGCACCGATGGACACATCAATTTTATATATTGCAAAGCTGAAAGGCTGATAGGGTCATTTCTTTTCTGCACTTTATGTAAGTCACAAATCTTAATGCTACATCAAGTCGCCACAACAATAATGTATCTGTTGTTTTCTCCAATATAATAAAATACATTATATTATTATTAATATCTCTGCACCCTTTAACTCAGTGAACATAACATGTATGTATTTAACTGACTGTACACTAATAGAATACAGTTGTTTCTAGAGACTGGTTATCTTTACTAATAATAAAATAATTATTATATGATATTGTACGCTAGTCTTGCAATCCCGATTAGAAATTAACATTTATGAAGGACTGCTCGTTATCTTCTTTCTAATCCATTAACTCAGTGGGTTACTGACCTCGTTTTTTTCCCCACCCCCATGTCAAAACTATGACATGAATCGCCTCGATTCAAGAGTTATAAAAAATGTTCCCTCTCGTTAATATTTTTTGGAAATTACTTAGTATATCTAAAAATGTTGATGTGGTTTAACATCTTAAACATTGGCATCCAATATTATTCTGTATACGAAAAAAATATGAAACATTTTATTTATTTTTGTTTATGTATATCTATTTTACTCTTTGATTCTATAATATTGTGTATTCTGTTTTGCTTTTTAAGTGTGCCATGATTCTTGATTTGCTCGAAATGCACAATGTTTGGAGAGAATTACACAACAGTTTAAACAAAATATCAACCTCATGTTTTGTACCTGTACGCATTCGTAAGATGGAAAAACACAATGACTATATCATTTTCACTTCGCATGTAAGTTACAAGACACAATTATTCTTGTCTCTGGTCTTCACACTTGTTTCTCAAAAATGTATGAATTGCATTTTATTTTTTTATTTCTCGTCAGAATATTGGGAAATATGAAAAAAATAAAATTTAATGATAATTTTAAAATTGCATAGATTTTGCTAAAATGAATAGACCATGAACTTTATAAGCCTAATTATATTCACTATAATTTTGTAGGCTTTATGTTGTTCTCTTCAGAAAAAGTTATGTTGGCACAAGTTTCTCTCGGTAATAACAAAAATAAAAATTTCATAAGTTTGCTTTCAGATATAGTTTTATACAAGGGAGCGTAAATATGGCTGTCACTTGATAAATGTGCACACTGGTGAGAACATGTAAATTGACACATATTGTCTTCTGAGTACACTTTAAAGGGCGACAGTCGTTGCGCTGCGTCCTGTTCGATATGGGACTCATAGCAACGTATACAACGCATGTAAAATACATTGTTTATTTACATGAAATTCGAACATGCGCTGCGCGATGTCCACCGACGACCGTGCTTTAAGTTTCATAGACAATATTCCTTAGATTCTGATTTCTCTAATATACATTATAGATACCATGTTTAAACACCACACCATGTTACCCTCAGGTTCCTGTCACAGAAGTTCCTATTTTCCCTTGTCAACACGTTTGATTTTCTCCAGTAAGAATATAAATAATATACTTGTCTACATGTAAACATAAATTTATTTTATGATCAAGTCCAATATATCAATCCTAGTGTTACCATATACACAGCCTACTAAATAAAAGATTATATATGTTTTATTTATTTTGTTTTGTTTTATGCGTTATGTGACATATTTTCTCTATTAGAAGCACATTTAGCCACCTAGAAGTTTGTTTTGGTGTGATTATTAAGTAAGCCAAACTTTGTAATATGGTATTTACCTACAGTACAGTCTGAGCTCGTTTTATCGTTTTATAAAATCATACAATCAAGTTAACACATTGCCTTCAGAGATAGTCAAAATAAATGGGTAAACATGGCGTAGTCAGGCGATGCATTAACCTAGATAAAACCTAGCTAAAATTAACTTTAAGTTATGCTTGGACTGTACTGTAAGCAACTGTGCTCATTTTAACATTAAATGTAATAAGAGTATGTGGTTGAAAACAATTTTGTTTTCTCACTGCATTAGATCTCACCATCAGTGAGCATTGTATGCAAATTTGATTTTTAATCAGTGTGTTACACTAAATGTATGGAAATAGCTCACTTACAATCTAAGTGGCATCTATTGTTAGCCAAACCACACTAGGTGATGATATTGA